CTGTAGCAACGTAGACGTTTACAACATAGCTGCACACGCATTTCAGGGGATAAGAAAAAACTTCAATATTACATTACCGTTTTTTATACAAACGTGTTTATTTCAACCGCTCTATTGTTCTCAGCGTAGGCTTCTGTAGCTGGTATCAACAGTACTTGATTTTTCGGGAGACGCCACCTCCTAGACAGAGTTGCCCACATTTCGATTGTCTCTCTGCGACCTTCCTCAGGGCAATATTGATTATTTATAAACCCGTACCAAGTCAATCTAGTCGCATTACTTTTTCGGAACGTTTGATGACTACTATTTGTTTAAGAAATTTAATGCTTTCTGTATTAAATGCATGTAATTTACTTAACATACTGATTGATATTTCTATAAACTTGGAATAAACTTTACGAAATGGATTTAGAAACCACAATAGAGCATTAATGCAAGCTGTAATGTAACTTTCGTAACATTTAATGTTTTGCTATGAGAATGTATGATTTCATTTCTTGTAAAATAAAAGTTGATATAACTATCAAAATTTGAACTTCTAATTCTTTACTGTAAAATGCTATGTCTCTGTTTTTTGTAGTACTTGTTTATGCAATTAGTTTATACCGTTAATCTTTATTGCGAGTGTACATGTTTTGAAAACGAGCGACGTTAAGAGCGAGTTTTCAAATTTGTACGAATGCAATGAAGTAACAGAACAAACCGGTTGCATTCGCTATTTTTTGTACAACAGCATTATAAATGCACGAGAGAATCAAACTCCATCTTGTGAAACAACTGTCTTGCAAGGTCTCGGGTATGTGACATCTGTGCGAGAAAACGGTCGGATGTTCGGTTCCTCGCTAGCTTCCCACGATTCTCTCGCTGCAGTTGGCTGAATGTGTGATGACTCCGTCATTCGTGCCATAAAATGCCAATACTAGTCGTAATTCAAGCTAATTTGTGTCGTAAAATACTAATTCTCTTACGTCATCATTTGTGCCGTACCCTTTTATGAACCACTTCTTGCAAACAGAAAAGGCCATGTAAAATGCTGGTATACAAAAAATGTATGTATTAACTTGATTATGATTGAGAAACGTTGGTATATAGCATGTTTTATGTATTTATTTTATTTATAAAAATTTGAAAGTGCTATATTACGTAACAGGCCCGTCCAGATAGCATTTAGTTACGTAGAATTTTAATGCAACTGCATCAAGAAGTTGCTAATACGCAGCCCAGAATGAGAAGAAGGCAGAAAGATAGTAGTAGATGAAGTGGAGCCAAATGTTTTATGTTTTTATGCGATGCTTAGGCCTAGAAACTAATTTATGCCAAACCATCATAGAAATAAAGATAGAAATAGTAGTTTTTTTACCAATATATTACTCATTCGCACAGCACTATGGTAGACGACAGTTGTATGTTTTCGAGCCAGAAACGATAGATTCGTTTACAACGTACCAACAGAGGAGACAACAACTTGTCTTACGACAACTGTTTTTTCATGTTCAGAAGTGTCCAAACAAGAGAGATAAACGCTCATTATATTGGTTAATAGAATGGCAGAAGAACACAATATAGCACATGAATTAATAATTTGCGAATGCTAGACGTCATTTGCTTTCAAAATTAACAAATCGACTATAGTTGCCGTTTGGAGAGGTAATTAAATTGTCCTTCAAATAGTTCTTGTGCGTAGAGGTACGTGCAAAATAATTTATTCATCTTTATGAGTCACATTACTACTCAGAAACGCCTTGTATATTAAAGAAACGCGTGTTGTATGAATACAGCTACATGAATGCAAGCAACGAGTAGTAGAAATTATCAGGAAAGCTCATTTGGCAAGTTTTATTTGAAAATTGTAAAAGAAATGATGCAATTATGGACACTTTCAAAATTTTCTACTGTTATTTCTATAATTCGATCTAGTCTTAATTCTTATCACATTACATAACTTACTTCATTTACTTTCTAATAATTCAAATTTAATATTTAAAAATGAATCGGTAATAAGATTTAAGGGAAACGTGTCGAAAGAAATAATAAAATTGTGCTAGTACATAGTAAATATTAATACGTTTTGAGTTATACTTATGCAATTCAAGCAGGATTCATCTAGTGAATTAAAGTTTGATAATAAACTTTCAATATGTATAATTGCTCTCCCTAGATGCATCTTTTTCATGAAAAAAGTATTCGTTTTTAAAATTGCATCAAACAAGAGTCTCCAAGAATGAATTAGTGTCTTAGCTGACATTGCTTTACAAAATGATAAGAAACACTTTGTGTGTATTTATCAGTGAAACTTTGAAGTGGAAAAATATTGGTGGAAAATATAAAAGGCACGGTACCTCTCTTGTGAAATATTTCTCAACAAATTGGTACAGTTATTTTATTGTGTCTTTCTTTCTCCGACAGTAAGTTAAAAAGACATCTTTACGAGATGCAAATGAAAAATATTAAGTGATTATATCTGCGTCCTTAAACAAATTCATCAATTAGGTACTACGAACATTTGGATTCATTCGTTTTACAATCAACGCATTTTTGAAAGATACTCATTTAATTATTCCTATTGGACGTGAACGTATGAATTTCCTACTGTAATTATTGCCTCCAACAGTTCTTCGTTTCTCACTCGAGGACATACATCTGCAGTCTCCCAATACTAGTACGCTTGAATCTAGATAGAGAAGAGAAATAGTTAAAACTAGGTGAAAATTAGTGCTGCAATGAATTATGTTTATTAGCAGTGAAAATTGCTTCATTATACATCCGTGGTTGAAAAAGCAGTAAGAACTTCTAGAGAAATATTATTAATATATTTTTTAAAGAGACAATAGGCAAAAATATTTTAAAAAACATATTTTTAAAAGTTTTAAAACTGTACAGCGTGGAAGCTGCTATTTCGAAAAAAACAGGAAGTGACATCACTATCCAAACGAATTAAAAATTGTCTAGTCTAGTCTTGTGGAACACCCAGTATCTAATTATTAAGGCAGAGCAGTGCATATTATATACAATGTGCAATTGGTCTTATGATACCAGCATCTGGAACATCAAAACGCAGATATAATTTTTGAAAGTGTTCACATTGTGAGAAAAATACGAACAATTTAATTCATTAAAACTCCTGTCTTTGTTATTAAGATGAGCAGACGACATGGGTATAAGAGTAATTACCAATTGAGTGAATAAGCAAGTTCAGTGCTCCAACATAAATGCAATATTTCTGTTGATATAATATCGATTTATGCTTACTCGTAGACCATAAAAATTCAGTAATTGATGATAGATGAAACGTCACACTTTAATCACAAATGCAAACGTTGAATCACCACAAATGTATAAATTACTTGTTAATATACCGTTAATAATCCGTGTTCTCAGTGCTGCTTAAAGACCTCATAGTTAAAGCTTGGCAATAGATATTTTAAATTGTAAAATCTTTATATTCTTTAATTAATTAACTGTATCATATGTTAGCTAATTTTTGAATTATTATTATCATCGTTTAATCATTGTAAATAAAATAGTCTGGCGAGGATTATTTGAAAAATGGTAGAAGAGAAGTTAATCATATTATGAACTAGTAATTATTTATTTTCTTGTAGAATTGAAAAAGAAAAAACAATTACTCGTTCTCCTTATTTGAAGATATTTCACAATCGCAGGGGTAGAATATGCAGCAGAGACGAACCTAATACTTGACGGAACGGCGTGTGTCCGTAGAACTTCTGTTCCGGGGCACTTCAGTCACGACAATAGCAAAAATTATAATAAACAACACCCCACATGCCCGTTTTAATTCAAACCCCTCTATCAAAACCGCCGATACTATTAAAATCAAAAGGTAATTTGAGCGAAATCGGTCGAGTAGTTTTTGCGTCTTCGAGTGACTAACATACGTACATTCCCTTTTATTTATATACTTTCACCTCAGCATTTTATTATTATAGTTATTTTGTATAAATTTTAACGCTCAAACCAAGATTTATTTTCTATCACCTCTCTGTCCCCATAAGCAATGTGTTGCCCCTTATTACAATACTTGTTGCATTACCCTCCACAGCTTAAAATGTGGGCAACCCCTAAGACCCGATTGCGCGTTAATAACCCCAACCTCACAGGTGATAGACGGGGCCCTTTTCTACACAGCCAAGCACCAAGTTCGGTCTCCTAGTGGGGTCGTTGAAGAAATCTGTTTCCTTCATTACCCTCCATGTGTTTTCTGCGTTTGTGCACTTTCTTCCGAAACACTCTGTAGGATGGTAAAACATATAATACATTTTGTGTGAATGCAATTTGTAATAATAACTAATCGTTGGATACAAAATTAACTATTTTCTTACAGAATGGACGATAGTGACAAACCTAATGATAAGGATATGTAAATAGAAGCAACCTTCTACAATAAAAACAAATATTTTTTTACTGAATTCAGATCATACATTCCCACATACATGTTGCAGAATGTAGGATCAGAATTTAGTGTAAATATATTACTATTATTGTGGAAGATTACTTCTATTTATCCATCCATTTGGATTGACAAAGATTTTGTGTGGTAACCAACGTGTATAAACATAACCCTCATTATCTCGAAAGTACCATTTGTTATATTTGGATTTCACTAAAACTTCCGGGGGTAAGCATCACAATATATATATATATATATATATATA